TCTCTCTCTCTCTCTCTCTCTTTTCTCATACTTTAGCCTCAGCATTTCACAAGTTTTGCTTTTTCACACTTGTGTTTTGATAGTACTCAATGAAGATTTCCTATTCTCATAAAAAATAAAAATTTTAAAATTATTTTGACCGAAGGAATTTTTTTTTGGTCAAATTTTAATATTTGAGATGCTAGCAACACCAACTTTAATAATTCTCTCTCTCTCTCTCTCTCTCTTTTAATATGAAAAATGTTATTTTTTAATACTCTATTATAAACATAGTTAACTTAATTAAAATTTAAAATTTTTTAAAAATTAAAAAGTTAATTTTTTTAATAAATTTTTATTAAAAAATTAAAATAACTTATTTTGAAAATAACTTTTAAAGGATAGAGGATTATATCATAACATAACTATGATTCGAACCCTAGTAAAGACAAGGAGAAAGTTTTTTTTTACTTGTAACTAGTATAACAAGCGCATATATTATATATATAGTGGGTAATTAGGCAATATCTGCTTGTTGTGACTTTCATTTACATTTCCACTACTTCGTTTTGGATCTTGAAGATGTTGAAACCTCAGAGCCTAAGGAGGGTGAAATTTGCCTGAAACTCAAAGCTGCCAAGGTTTGTGTGTTCGACACTCTTTTGCGTCGTGGCCTTGGGAAGGACTATGATCTACCTTTGCCCTATATCCCAGGTGAGTAATTAACTTTAAAGTTTTTTATTTTGTAGTTTATATCAACATGCAAAATAAAAATCCTTATTTTTATTTTCCATTAAAGGTTTTTTTTTTCAATTTTCCCTTTTTATTAATTGAGCTTCAATTATAGGTTGGGACTCGGTTGGAATAGTAAAAGCTGTGGGAACAGGAGTAACTCACTTGAAAGTTGGAAATCTAGTACATTATGCTAGCTCGGAACCTCACGGATCATGTATTGAAGAAAGAAATGTTCCATCTGACAAAGTAATTTTACTCCCACCAGAAGTTGATCCAATTTTTGCATCTGCCTACACACAGCTTGCTATGATGGCTCGCTACCTGGTTACCCAGGTGTTTAAGGTAGCCAATAATCTTTATCTCTTTTAATTTTTTAAAAAAATGATTGACACACTTTTTATCTTAAAAATATGAATTTCAATAACTTAATTTTTGTTTGTTTTTAATTTAAATTTTAAAATAATAATTTTTAATAAATATATTCAACCGAGTCTTATTGTTCTAATTTTTTTTTTTTTAACCTTTTCCATTTACTTGCTTCTGGTGCCACATAAATTAATAATGGCATTACTTTCTAGGTCAAAAGCGGACACATTGTACTAGTTCATGCAGGAGGTGGCACTTTGTGTGGGTATTTTCTCACACAGTGGGCCTCTAATTTAGGAGCTACCGTCATTTGGACTGTGCCCCCTTCCGCAGATTCAGTGTTATTTGAGAAGATGGTTAAGGCAGCAAAGGGTGTCAAATGTAAGCATGTGATTCCAATTGATGATCAAAGAAAATTTGCAGGGAGGGTCAATCAAATTTCTTTGGGGAGGGGCTGTGATGTCGTTTATGATCCTATAGGGCATGATGATTTCAAGGTATTTGTCACTTTCAATACTTGACTTTGCTACTGACTTTTCTTTTATTCCGACTAATAAAATTTTTCATTGTAGGAATGCTTAGCCTGCTTAAAGCCCAAGGGACATATGGTGAACTTTTGCTCTTTATCTGGCAAACCAAAGATAGCTGTTTCTACTCTTGCCCAAAAGTCTATATTCTTCTGTAGTCCTGACATGAAACATTACTTAGAAAACCGAGATGAACTGATTCAGAGT